AGTTATACCATAAATCGTGGTATCATAAATGCTAACAGTTTTATATAAAATGAACAGAGTGTGATGTTTTGATTGTTTGTCTGGAATGTGATGATCAAGTATCCTAGATGTGTCGGCCAAGTGTTTAAAATAATATAAATTATTTTCAAATTATGAACATGTCCATGAAGTGTCGGACAAGTCCTGTGTTAGTGTCCCGAATGGTGTCTGGCACGGACATTGGCACCTCCATAGAAGTATCTGTGCTTCTTAGAGAAAAGGTTTGCCAGTTAGATCCATGACCCATCCTCTATGTGATTGTGGTTTATCAATTGAATATAACTCTATGGCAGGGACCCTTTGAACCTGTCCGTGCATCTTTGATAAGTTAGGCACCCTTTTTGCGTAAATCGTGCAATCTTTCAACATTTTCAGGCCAAGAATAAGTGTACCGCCTAATTAATCATTTCATTTTGGTCCCTGCTTGGTGGGCTCCACAAAACTCTTCATTCAACTGAACCATCACTTTCACGGCTTCTAATTTCCTGATGCGTTTCAAAAGCAAATCAGCCATGCTTTTCTGATAGAACACTTCATCTAACAAGATGTATTTGATGGCTTAGTGCTTTTAACATTTTGCCTGCACTTTGAGGTTGAGTTTATTAGTAAATCAATGATTAGGGCTCTCCAATCATTTTCACTCGTTGTTCTCCATCTTCCATTTTTAATAGGAAGATTTCCTTAATTTGTTGCTCCTTTCTATTGATTCTATAGTCGATATGCTCTGATACCAATTGTTGGTGCAAGAGATCAGTACCCCAAGGCTCTAATATTGTGTGAGCAGACTAAGACCTAGAGGGGAGTGTGTAGGTTTTATGGATATTATTTTGCAAGCAACTAACTTTTTGAATTACCATTAATCCTTGTTCAAATTTCAGGGCCTGTTTGGCAACCCTTTTGCTTCGTGCTTTTGTTTTGACCCGAAGCAGAAATAACTTTTCTTCTTTGGAGTGTGTTCAATACTATTCGGAAGCATGTTTGGTAATGTTATATTTGTTGTAAGAATTTTGGAAGCAAAAATATGAAAACATGTTTGGTAAAAAGTGTTGCAAGTTTGAAAAATAAAATGGCTAATTAAAAATGTATTTTAAAATGGCTGGAACCTTATATTCGGCTTATTTGGTATGCTCTGGGTAATGCCCCGATCATCTAAGGGACTGATTAATGCATGGAGGGGATGTCTTGTGAGAAGCAGTGTACGCGACTATTGGAGGACAGTTCCACATTGCGTGTGGTGGTGCATTTGGAAGGAGAGGAATAACAGAATGTTCGAAGGGAAGTCGTCCATGACGACGCTGAAACTTCATATTATTTGCTCTATTTTTAGTTACGTGTAGAGGAGTTCTTGCTCTTCTTCTGATGACTTAATGATTGTTTTGGATTCTTTGGGTCCTTAGATCTCGGTTCCACTTTTGTATAAGGGACGCGTTCTCCTTTTGAACGCCTTTTATTCAATTATTACTAATCAAAAAAAAAAAAAAAAAAAAAAATTGGTATTTTAAGATATTATTATTATTATAATTATAATTATTATTTTATTGTATTTGGGTACAATTCATTGCTATAGTGCTTTTGCTACACTATGGAAGCAACTGGAAACACCTATTTGGTGCTTCCGGTTTTGGCCTCTTTTGAGGAAACGTTTCAGTAGTATTCAAATCGCAGCAAACATTGCCAAACACGCTTCCGTGTTTTGCTACGCTGCAATACACTGTCTGAAGCAAAAAAGCACGAAGCAGAAGTGGTTGCCAAATAGGGCCTTAGTTAGTTATGATGATTTTAATTTGAATTATTGTTTACATCCATTAGGTTTCAAATTCATTCAATGCATTCACAATCATGCCTCCTTAAAAAGTAAATAAGAGCAGAGCCAATATTTTTATGTGAAAAATCCTAAACAGGGAAAAACCATGGGACTTAGTCCAATCAGGAGGAAAAAGTTACAACTTAGTTAACAGATCTCGTACCCTAGAGCCCATAGTTAGTTCTTGACACAGACTGGCATCAAACTTTTCATTCAAGTCTTCTGTTTGCGCTCCTCACGAATCCGATTCTCTAACGGTTGTACATTCTTCTTCTCAGAGATTTGATCGGTCAAGTCTTTAGGTTTTCTGTTCGCGCTCCTTGCGAATCTGCTTCTCTAATGTTTGTACACTCTTCTGCTCAGCATTCTGATTGGTTGATCTAAATTGTTTCATAGACATGATGCATGCCTCTATTGATAAACACTTGATGACAATTCATTGAAAATTCTTTTTTCGCTTAAGGATTTTCTCTATTTAAATGATTAAAGGCTTCAAATCATTACCTAGACTGACCATATTTATAGTCAATATAGGTAGCCCTACGATTTAGTAAGTTTAATTCTTGTAGAATTATGTTTTGACAGTGTTTCCAAAAATATAGGTCTGAAGGGTTTGATCTATTGAGACTTTGATCGAGCACCATTGGATGAGCTTCAATCAATTGGCCTATCGGTCAAGGCATACTGGATTTAAAAACAATTTTCTACAAAAATCATCGATCAATCGACCATCTTGTCGATGCTATCTGGAAGTTACACGGCACCTACTGTATTTCAGTTATTATTCAATTTTTAGATGAGCTGAAATCCATTGTTTTTGAAAAGTCATTTTGCAAAAACTCATTAAAAACAAAATATAGAGCCTTTCATGATCAATTTAGGTTAAGTAAGGTCTTTCTAAGGTCGATTTACTTGTGCCCTAGATATGTGATTGGGAATACAGCTTTATCACCACGTTCTTTCCAATTCTTTTTTTGCCTTGTCTTCGATGGTTGTACTCATATGACTCAAAGACACTTCCACACATTACAACCAAAGTTTTGAGTAGGAAATTGCCAAAACATGAATCATATACCTTATAATCTCCTCCTTTGACAATTCAAACAAAACTTAAAACAGAACATACGTAAAAAAGACTGATTCAACCGAAAACCCAATTGGCAATCAGCCTTACTTGTACATAGAAAGGAATAAAACAACTCAAAATCTACCCAATCACTTTGTCTTGATTACTTCATATTAAGCTTCTAAAATCTGCATAACTAACAGAACACACATACCAAATCATAGTACTTTCCATCAAAATAAATAAAAACTTGATATATAAAGCTAAAAAATAAAGTATTAAGCACAAACATCGAGGCTTTATAATATAATAAGGCTCAAAACATATCTAATATCTCTCACATCTCTCCTTAATATAACATCCAATATAATAAACCACTTCTCCCCTTGTTTGTTACAGATTAGACAAAAAGATAAAGAGAATTAAGGAGAGAAATAATTTTTTTTTATTGTCAAATCATTGAATAATATAAATCCTCTCTGACCGCAACACACGACTTCACAACTAATATGAATCAAAGTATTTTAGTTTATCAATATAGAAAGTCTCAAAAAAATTAATTCACTTTTCAAGCACTAGAAGAACTTCAACTTAGTTCCTTGTAAGTAAAAGTGAACTAAATAATTAATTATAATGATTTGAGTCTCAAAAATTTTCATGTTACTCAGTAATTATAGTCATCAAAGAATCCCATTCATGAATGCAGACCAAATAATGTAAAAGAAATTCAAGTAATACATTCAACATGGTCTTTTAAATCTCTCTCATATATCATTCTTTTTTCTCTCACCAAACTTTGACGGCTTTCACACTACGGTAGCCAACTCTTTCCAAAGACTATTACAGTATTTACTAATGATTTTTGTTTTAATTTCCTTTTTGTCTTGGTACCTTTGGATAAATCTCACAGGTCATCATTTAAACACAGTATTTCTTTCAAAGCCTTGGTTTTGCATTAGTAATTTCATTTGATAACAGGTGGGGTGTCTCCTCATGGAAATGATGCACAGAGATTCACAGATTACAAGGAACCTCTAGATCTCAGAAATGGCTCTCCACAGATTTTATCTGGAAATTTTGACCATCAAATGGAATCTCTACTACTGGAGGATGAGGTTGATTGCGTTCTTCATGCACTGAGAAAGTCCCAGCAGTCCGAATATAAAATTGCAGAGGAAAGGCTTTGTGCCCAAAAAAAATATCTTCTAAATCTGTATCAGCAGCTCGAAAAGGAGAGATCTGAACTTTCCAGCCGCACATCATCAGCTGACCCGGATTCCTTACTTGATGTGGTCCTGAAAAGGGTGAATCAGATAAAACGTGAGGTCGTGAAACTCAAGGATATGGAAAAAGTGGCGAAGGGATTTGGAAAAACTCCCAAAGATATTCTAAAGGAACATTTCGGTTTAGAAAATGAACCGTGACAAGAATCCGCATTCACTAATCTGTATCCATTGGCTGTTTGTATCAAATTTTGTAGTTGAGTGGCATATTATGCCTTTTAAGCATTTACTTGTATGTTGTAACATTCATGTAAACGGCGTGTGCCAGTAGTCCAAAGTTGTCATACATCACAGAATACATTGCGTGATGGCCTTGTCTGTACTATGCTAGATTGAAAAGTCGAACAGGACTTACTATTATTTTAGTGCAATTTTTCCTCAGTGGATTGTGGAGACACATGTTTCATTAATTAATACTATGCAAGTAATTCCCTCAAGTTTTTCCATCAAACAGAGCCAAAAACACTAAGCCATTATGTAGCAGCAGGACTAGCTCAAAAATGACATCTACACACACAGACGCACACAACAAATAGACTATGTTTCAGCTAGCATCACAGGGATTGATTGCATCTATTCTTGTAAGGAGTATTTAATTTATTCAATCACAGTTAGAATTCCCCAATTTTTTCGTTTTTCCTGTCAAATTAGGGGGAGGTGGACTCGAACATGAGCTCGCACACCCACTCGGGGGAGTTGGACGCTTTATACCAACTAGGTCACTGAATAATGTTGGGTAATACCTTATAATTCGCCAATTGTCCGAGTCATACACACAGGCGCGCACAAACAAAAGCTGCTTATTAGTAACTCTATTAGTTGGGGCAGATTCAGAATTTGCTTAGCTGCACAAAGCCACAGCAAGAGCACAACAAAACTCATCAATGAATTGCTACATCAATTCAAATCAACATGTACAATTAATTCAGTCTTAACAATTCAAAACCAACATTAGTATCAGAAACTTTAGAGCTACACTATAGTACGCACCAGTTAAAAAATAGTATCAGAAACTTCTCACAAGGAATGAGAATTACATATATTCCTAAGAGAAGGTGAAGAAAGAAAAAACTGAACATCAATCCATGGACGGGATGTTCTTCAAGTTGGGATTCTGATAGTGTCATCTGAAAAATCACTGTACTGGCTGCTGCTTCCCCCAAAAGCAGACAAGAGCCAGAACTCCTGCTTTAATTTCTTGAACTCTCTTGACAACCTGCACTTGACAAACTCCAGTGCTGCTGAAACCAATCTTGAATTCTCCATTATCGAACTGCGCCGATATTCGAGCACCCATGTGTTAGGATTCAACTGCACAACAGATGCACTCCATCTTCCTTGTGCCCAAGAACTGTTCCCCCTTCGGACCGAATATCGGACCTTCCCTTCAGACCACTGCCAAATCAAAACCAGCAATTTAAGCAAGACCGTGCATGAAATGAGCTTAACCATATCACACATGATATATTTTATTAAAAAAAAAAAAAAAAAAAAAAAAAAAAAAAAAAAAAGAACACACCATTGATGAGCTGAACTTAATCAACTAGTTGGATTAATCAGAAGACACAAATTTAGCCCACTGTCAAATCAAAACCATCAATTAAGCAAGACAGTCCATGAAATGAGCTTAACACCATATTTAATATGATATATTTTATTTTATTTTATTTTTTAAAAACCATTGATCAGCTGAACTTAATCAACTAGTTGGATTAATCAAAAGAAACAAATTTAGACCACTGTCAAATCAAAACCATCAATTTAAGCAAGACAATACATGAAATGACCTTAACCATATTACATATGATATATTTTATTAAAAAAAAAAAAAACCAATGATCAGCTGAACTTGATCAACTAGTTGGATTAAGCAGAACACACAAATTTAGACCACTATCAAATCAAAACCATCAATTAAAGCAAGACAGTACATGAAATGAGCTTAACCATATTACATATGATATAATTTATTAAAAAAAAAAAAAAAAACCCATTGATCAGCTGAACTTAATCAACTCGTTGGATTAACCAGGAACACAAATTTAGACCACTGTCAAATCAAAACCATCAATTTAAGCAAGACAGTACATGAAATGAGCTTAACCATATTAAATATGATATATTTTATTTTTTTATTCAAAAAAAAAAAACACCATTGATTAGCTGAACTTAATCAACTAGTTGGATTAATCAGAAGACACAAATTTAGTGTTTTTACCTCTGTAATTCTTCCTGTTAAGATAGTGAATGATCTTGAAGAGAATTCAGCTGTGAGCAATCCTGCAGTCTGCAGAGGCCATCCCCAAATGCTCACCTCCTCCACTGCAGATTTGTATAATGTACACTGCGAATTTAGGAGCAAACCATCCTACAAATCCACACACACACACACACACACACACACATATATATATTTGTTAATAATTAATCTGAAAAAAAAAAAAAAAAAGATGGCTACAAAAATTTAAAAGCAAGTAATCAATCCAGGTTAAAATAAGAGTACTACTTATCAAAAAAAAAAAAAAAAAAAAAAAGGGTTTAAATAAAAGCACCTTATTGATTTCCCAAAAAGAATCAATTGATCTACAGCTTGAAACCTCCCCTTCAACCACACCCTGTAGTTCTTTCTTCAAGAATTCCAATCTTTGATTCAAATCTTGAAAAACCCATGATTTCTCACCCACATTCCTCACCATATCCGGCGACAATTGGGGCTGCAAAAACTCCGAAACCACCCAAGAACACCCATGTTCGGCCGCCAAAATCAAGCTCAGCCCCACAATCAATCTCATCAGCAAAGACCCGAATCCCATCTCTCTCTTCTCTCTCTTCATCTTCTCGTGAAAACTCGTTCTTGCCGTGGAATTAAGTGGCGGAGACACCATGGCCCGGCGGTGGATACCCGGCGGTCCAGGCGGCGTCGACGTAGTAGTGGACGGACTGAACGAAACGGGGCTCCGGGGAACTGGGGGTTTGGAAGCAGAGCGGTTGGTGTGAGAGCTTCTCTGGATGCTCTTGGGCATGAGGTCGAGTGTGGCGTTGATGCTGGCCAAGCAGATGTCGCAGTTGCAATTGGCGTCTTTTCGGCATCCCGGGAAGTAACAGCTGTCTCGGGGGGTTCCAGATTGATCGTCTTCCATGTTGGTGTTGATGGTGGTGCTTGATTTTACAGAGGATGATGTTGTTGATGCTGATACAACTATTGTTTTCATGGTTTCTTGGATTTTTGGACCGACAATTCTCTCTCTCTGTGTGGCTGCTTGGTGGTCGCTTTCTTGAAGTTGAAGAATTTAGTACGGGTTAAGATGGTATGGTTTTGAAATTTGAATTATAACGGTCATATGGGAAGGAGTCATATGGAGGAGGATTCGCATTTACTAACTAGCACAGGTGGTCTATTTTTTAAAATGACTGAAATAGCCTCTGTTTTTGTGAAAAATACATGATGTAAAAACAAACGTGTATAACATGTACACGCTCACCTTTTTGGGCTTGAAATGGAGTGGGTTTCACGGAAATTCATAGCAGATATACTTTGAAGGAATTATGAAGTACTTGTGCCAAAATGATGAAGTCAATTATATCTCTTTTTTAAATGATGGAGTTTTTATCAAAATTTGACCAAGAAATTTTTTTTTATGGTACATTATCTTTTTATTTCGAAACTGTTCATTGTTTTATCAAGATATACATAAACTAGTATTATATTCTCCAAAAGTAATACCGTTGCCAACAACCGCCACAACACCCTCTCTCTTCATCTTCTATCTCTCTACCGTTGCTCTCTCCACTCTGTTTTCCCTCTTTACGATTCTTTCTTTTCTCTCCACCATAGTCTCCAGCCACCACCACTAAAGACCATAAATATATAAAACATGTACACACACACATATATATACATGTACACACACACACATATATATACATGTGTATATATTTTGCATAAGTAATAAAATTTGATTGATGTTGCCTTCCTCAAAGACCCAATTGTATCCACATATATGTAATAAATGCAAACATTCAATTAATTCCATTTGATTGGTATCCAATATATTATTTCAATAACTTACAAATATTTATTGAATCAGAGTCTCTCTCACAATATAGTTACGCCTTCTAATTTATATACACATACACCCACAACCACCGGAGCAGTCGTCGGCGCACTTGTGGACCTTCTCGATCCCATTGGGATCCTATCTAGGAGGGGCAACTGAAATTGATGAAGCTCTGAACTAGTAGTGACGATGATGAGAAAGGACAATCCGCAGGAGCTAGGAGGACTCTTGAGGGACTGTACTTACCTTTATGTCACGATCCGATTCCTAACGACGCCATGAGCATAGAAGACACGCATGCTGGTTGGCTAAGAACATTTATTGACTGGGAATGGTTCCAGGGAAGGGGCGTGCAGGACCACAGGATGCTACCTCTTCAGAGTTCAGGCAGGTCGACTCGGTTCAGTTCGAGGTGCTTGTCGCTAGTCGTGGACTTGACTATGAAGAAGGGAGTTGGCCATCCCTGCACAAACTGGTCGGGAGCTGGAGCCGTTCCCCTGACAAGGCCATGGTAGGCCGAAACCAGTCAGCATGTATCCTCGGGAGGGCAGGTCGTGGTGGCTGACCAGGGCGCTTGCGTGAGCTGAAGCAACGCCTTGGTGCCGCACGGGCCGTGCCGCTGCGCCAAATCTCTAGGCCCGTGACAAATGGTATCAAAGCAGGACTTGAGGAAAAGCACAGAGGTGTGCCCCCTTGTCGATCCGGGGGTCTTGAGAATGAAGACGGTGCACTAAAGCGTCGCTGGGCAATCAACGCTGTTGGAGGAGAGCCTCCATCTCCCCATGAAGACGCGTCCTTTGAAGCCGGAGGGCCGCGCGCATCGGATGGCCGGAGGGCCGCGCGCACCAAAGTTCTTGCAAGTTCAAGAGGTGTGCAAACCGTTGTGAAGGGCGGGTATCAAGTCAGTCGGAGGGCGCTTGTTTGCTCGGGGTGTCGCGGAGGCGGCATAACGTGGGGTTGCGTCCCGAAGAAGTGGGCGTCCCTTTAGCCCGAAACCCTATCATTGGGCGAGTGCAGCCAGGGGTTATACAAGGAAGCGATGGTGGGCAGGCGAGCATACCACTTGGAGGAGAGAGACTTTGGAATGTTGGACGCAGCGGAGTCAGCGCCGCACTGCGACGAGGGCGTCGCAGGATTTGGGTGGGGGAGAATGTCACGATCCGATTCCTAACGACGCATGAGCATAGAAGACACGCATGCTGGTTGGCTAAGAACATTTATTGACTGGGAATGGTTCCAAGGAAGGGGCGTGCAGGACCACAGGATACTACCTCTTCAGAGTTCAGGCAGGTCGACTCGGTTCAGTTCGAGGTGCTTGTCGCTAGTTGTGGACTTGACTATGAAGAAGGGAGTTGGCCATCCCTGCGCAAACTAGTCGGGAGCTGGTGCCGTTCCCCTGACGAGGCCATGGCAGGCCGAAATCAGTCAGCATGTATCTTCGGGAGGGCAGGTCGTGGTGGCTGACCAGGGCGCTTGCGCGAGCTGAAGCAACGCCTTGGTGCCGCACGGGCCGTGCCGCTGTGCCAAATCTCTAGGCCCGTGACATTTAGCTCTGTTAATGGTATAATTGTTTTCCTGAAAGAGAGATAAAAGAGAGAGAAATGGTACGTGAACAGAGAAGAAGGACAATTTGGTAATCAAGACGTACATTTATAAAATTCCATTATATTGGAAAAGTTGATTTTGACTCTATCATTTTGACATAAAACATGTATAATTCCAATTTTTTAGAAATTATTCATATTTTAAAGGGTTAGGATTTTAACTATGCATCCAAATTCAAAGCCAATATAGATCTCTGTTAAAAGATCTATCACACTAACAGGCTTGTGGCTTAACGATATCAAACCCCTATTTGCCAAAGAAAGGTCAAATCGAATCTTAGCGGTGGCATGCGTGTGTAGTACCAACTAAGACAAAAAAAACATAAAAATCCATCACAAATTTGAGTTGGAATGGATTTGAATTTTATTTGAGATGTTTCATTTGAATGTATTCTTATCCATTACCAGAATAAATTACACTTATCTCCCTTGTGTTTTGAATTATTACATCTACCACCATTCTAGTTACATGCATATAATAAAACCCTTGAGATCAGTTTCAATAACTATTTAGAGATGGCAACCCTAATGTCCTAAATTTTTACGAGCTTTGGACAAAAATTCTTTCACATGAAAATAAATAAATAAATAAATAAATAAATAAGGGGCATTTGATCCGGATAGTATTATTATTATCTTACAACTATTGTAACAAAACTAACATGTTACATTCTTTTAACGGTGATGTTTCATCCCAAGTACATTATCAAGAATATTGTTTGCATTTAGTGATAGAATTTGGGCATTTTATCTAAAAGAATGTACTCTTTTTGTTTCAAATTAAGTGTCCTGTTTTGAGAACCGTGATTTGGGACGGAGATAGTATCATGTCGGTTTTGTTAACATCCCATTTTGCCCCCCAATAAAATTACAAGGATCTAATTGTTGACAAATCCGTTATTGCGTCTGGAGCATCCAAAAATCTTAAGAGTACCCGAAGGGATTTAATCCCACTCCAAGTAGTCAATTAGCAAGCCCCTCCGCGTAGGGACAAAGCAGTCACATTTCACCTTCAAAGGAACAATCTAGACACAACTTGGGGACCATTGTGACCCTTCCAAATCCTAATTTTGAACTTTTCCCACAAAGAGTGAAGTCATCGCGATGACGTTAGTGGGCACTGCATAGCACATGTGCAAGGAAGCACGGATACTTTTCCGAAAGTGCCGTGGTGGTATCGACCACGTTTTCAGTCTTGATACGCTTAGGATACATCCAGACACGTATCCGATACTCCGGAGAAGTATTCAATTTTTTAAAATAAATTTTTAATTTTCAGATACGGTTGGGAAACACTAAGGATATGCTGGAATACTTTTTGGATTCGGTTGGGATACGCCGATGATACTTTTCAAAGAGGTTTTCTTCTTCTTCTTCTTCTTCTTTTTTTTTTTTTTTTTTTTTTTTTTTTTTTTTTTTTTTTTTTAAATTATGCAAATCAGCTATTTTTTTTCCCCCTAATTTTAAGGCTTTAAGTTTATTTGATATTTAATGTGTTGTGAAATGAAATCTTGTGTTTTATTTACCTAGGGCATGTTTGGTATGGGTGAATGGAATCAAATGAGAGGGAATAAAATACTTTTCTTTTCATTCTTGTGTTTGGTGTGGGCTTTTAAAGATGGAATCATCATTCTTCACCATTCTCTGTGAATGATCATTCCACCAAAATCATTCATTCTCTTGATCAATGGAATGGTCATTCCATTCCCGCATGGAATAGGATTAAAAAAATTATGACCAAAAAACCTGTTCATCATCTCTTTTCTAAATCCATCTCTGTTCTCTTTCAACCCATTAACATTGGAGTTCCTTCCACGACTGAGAACCACGATAATGACAAAGGTGGCCAGGAAGCGATCGGACTTGGTCATCATCTATTTTCTAAAACCATCTCTATTCTTTTCCAATCCATCGACATTGGAGTTCCTTCCACGACTTAGAACCATGGCGACGACAAAGGAGGCCAGGAAGCGATCGGACAATCCAGAAACACCGTTGAGATCAGAGACCTTGGAAGTCTGGATCACATCTTCAACTCCTTTAACATTGCTACAATCTTCGTCCCCAATATCAGATCTGTTATACTTTTCTCCATAATCCAACCGTCTTGCTTCGTCGCCATCATCATCTCCTCCTTTCTCAATGGTAGAACATATATACAAGACCACAACACAACCAAACCCAGCTTCATTCCATTCCATTCTCATTCCTGTTCCATTCTCAGTTTCATTCCATTCCCACTCTATTTCATTCTTGCACACCAAACTAGCCCTATCTTCTTTATATATGACTGTTAATTATTGCATTTAAATTCATAATATTAATATAGGAAATTGATAAAAAAAAAAAATGTATTTTAATTAATGTAATATATATAAAATTGTCCTATCTCGTGCCCGTATCCTTTTTTTTTTTTTTTTTTTTTTATTTTTTTATTTTTATAGATTTGTCGTATTCTATCCATAGCGTATTTTTATCGTGTCTTTGTCCATGCTTCATAGCACATGTGTGATACCCTATAGTTTTCATATTTGTCCTTCCACGTCTGGCAACTCCAGAAATCACCTCCAATTTTTTCATATTTTCCATTTCGTGCCCAACGAGTAGTTTTTCTATATAAAAATGCCCTTAGGCCTCCC